TTGCTATTTTTCTCTGTGTCTTTAATGCATCCAGGACTAAGTTTATTAAGCATTATTAATGTTTTAATAGCTTAGAATATGGCAGAACTTTAGCATACATGCTTAAAAACAGTATCATGGTTCCATGGTGCTTGTAATTTCTGTTATTTTTGCTAGTTAGGACATTAGCAGTTTGACTTTGAATCAAAATTCTCTATTTCTCAGTCTTCACTGGTTCCAAATATTTTGTCCTTTTAAGTCAAGGAAATTGCCCTGATTTTATGAAGACATTTTGGTATGATTTTTATACTGTTGAAAGTTATAAAAATGACCCTTTTGCTATTAGATGTAAATTATTCTGAATAAATGCACACATGGGTCTTCTGTCCCAGCTTTGTGAGTTCAAACTGCTTCTGATGCATAGTCTCACTGTAATCTGGTTCCAGGATGTTCTTCACCTTCTAAGAGTAGCCAGCCCCTAGACTTTCCCCATGGTATATGTTGATGTGTGCCTCAGGTCTTGTGAAGTCCTCTGGGCTAGCATGTCAGGCTTGCAGCCCTGCTGGTCATCTCCAGGCCAAAAAAGGCAGGAAGTAGATTTGTCCTCGAGAGATTTATAGTAACCTTCAAATTAAGAGGACCTAGTGACTTCTAAAATGGACCCGTCTTTCTTCAACCTCACCACCCTATCAAGAATATTTCCTCTGGGGCTGGAGAGATGGCTCAGCAGCTAAGAACACTTGCTGTTCTTGCAGAAGACTGGGGTTTGAATCCCAGCACCCACATGGCAGCTAACAACTGTCCATAACTCCAGTTCCAGGGGATCTGACAGCCTCTTCTGTCCTCCGTGGGCATTGCACAACACGGGTGCACTTACCTACATGCAGGCAATACATGCATACACATAAAATATAATGTATTTTTTTAAAAAAGAATATTTCCTTTAAAAAAATCTTTGTGTGTGTGTGTGTGTGTGTGTGTGTGTGTGTGTGTGTGTGATACATATGTGAGTTCAGGTGCCTGCAGAGGCCAGAACAGGTTGTTAGATCCCATGGAACTTGAATTAGAGATGGTTGTGAGCTGCCTGATGCAGGTGCTAAGAACTGAATTCGATCCTCTCCAAGAGCAGCAAGTGCTCTTAACTGCTGAGCCATCTCTCCAGCACCAGGGAGATCTCCTTTTCTCATGGATATTGCATTAGGGTCATTTGTCCTAGCTTGTGTTTCTTTTTAATTCTAAATAATTCTAAAATATTATCATATGCAAATGTTTTAAATTGCACTGTAAACTCAACAGCAGAAATTGTTTTTGTGTTTTTGCTTTTTAGTCTTTGTGCATGTATGTGTGCATGCATGAGATGTGCATATGCCACAGGGCACATGTGGTGGTCAGAGGACAGTCTTGTTTGGGGCAGGGTCTCTTCTTGTTTGCCACTATGCTTCTGTGGATATTCCTGTCTCAGCCTTCTGTTTCCCTGTGAGAGTACTGGAATTTTAGACTTGAGTGAAACCACCCTGTGTGACTCTTCATGGGTTCTGGGGATTGAACTCAGGTCCTCATGCTTGCATAGCAAGCACTTTACCCAGTAAACCATCTCCCCAGCCCCTGTTCTCCCCTTTACCTTGTGGGGTATCTTAGTTAGTTACCCCCCATGTCATATTTATTATATTACGACCTCAGGCATGTTTGCAAGCAGGAACCAGCACACAGGAGTCTAGCCTGGATTTGTGGGCAAGTGCATTAGAATAGCACAGAGAGGGAGAGGGGTGGGGAGGACAGACAGGGCCTGGAAGTTCTGGATTCAGTAGGGAGGGACAGATATGCATTCCTGGAGACTTTGTGACAACACCTAGTAAATTCCACGTGGGTAAAGATGGTGTCAGGCTCTCCTTTGATCCCCTAAATGCACTAGAGTATGTGGCTGCCATGAAATTGTACTGTAATGTTTTCTAGGTATGATTCATTCACAGTTTAATATGCTCTAGTTCTGGCTTGACTTTTCCCTCAGGAAGAGCCTAAAATCTCTTCATTATAATATAGACAGTGTATTGCACTTTGAATACAAATTTATCCATGTTCAGACTAATTTTTCCTGTGATGTCTCTACCCTGGAGAAGTGCCTTTAATGAATTACATACAAATTGTGTAATTTAAGAAGTTAATTTGGTTTTCTGGTTACATAGGACTAAAAACAGCCCTTGTAGAAAGAGATGATTTCTCATCAGGGACCAGCAGCAGAAGCACTAAATTGATCCATGGTGGTGTGCGATATCTTCAGAAGGCCATCATGAAGTTGGATATTGAGCAGGTAATTGTGTATGCTGGTTGTTAAACAAAAATTGCGGCTATGCTTTTTCTACCCAATTAAATCAGTCATTGTCGTCGTCGTCGTCGTCCTCCTCCTCCTCCTTTTCCTCCTCCTCCTTTTCTTCCTCCTCTTCTTCTTCCTCTTCCTCTTCCTCCTCCTCCTCCTCCTCCTCCTCCTCTTCCTCCTCCTCCTCTTCCTCCTCCTCCTCCTCCTCCCCCCCCTCTTCCTCTTCCTCCTCTTCTTCTTCCTCCTCCTCCTCCTCCTCTTCTTCTTTCCTCCCCTTCCTGTTAGAAATACTTAGTGTATGCTGCGGGGGTATCTTTGAGGAGAGGTGTGCCTGTTCTTTCCTGTAGTATTATGTTTATGGGTAATCGGGCCTTTTCTGTATATGCATGTCAAAGTAGCAGATTTACAAAACACTTTTGAATGTGTTGCCTTTTAACAATTGTGACTGGGTTTTTGCCAGTGGCCACCAAATTGCTGCTTCTCAGCAGTTTCAGGGGAGCTGTGTTGTGATGCAGATCTAGTGCCACATTGATCCCTTAACTGCAGCTGCAGTCCTGTGCTCGTATTGTCACTGACACATTCTTCAGGAAAAGATGATCTGAGTCACGCTTTCCCTGTGTCACACTTTATTGTGTCCAGTCTGCCACAATTTGAAAACTGCCAAGGCAGTGCGGAAAATGACATTTCCCAGAGGGGCGAAGAAATGAGCTTTCCTCCCTATCTCTTTTTAGTACAAGGAAAACACAGTGCTGTGGATTTGCCATTGTCAAGTTTTGAGTCTGTCCCCCTTTCTCGCCTTGACAAGTCTGTTGAATCTGTTCCCCTTTCTTATGTTTTTCTTCAGCATCATCTGCTAACTTCTGATGTGTTTTGGTTTATTTTGTCAATATCTACAGTCTTAGTCTTATATGTAAAATTCATATTATAATAACAATGCTAGCTCTTTAGGCACGCATAATGAGGGCCACCATAGTGAAGACAAAGGCTTCTTTACAGTCTGTAAAATACCCATCAACAACTACTTATTATCTTTGTTGGGTTTAGGGACAGCAAGAAGAAGTTTTCCCATGAATTTGAGCAATCTGTTATCTCCTACCTAGAGAAAACATAATGGGACCGAGAGAGGGAGACAATCCGGAGAATGCAAGATAAATGATTACAATAATCTTGTAACTCAAGTCAGGAAAATATCTTACACCTGGGAACTCTGACAGCATGTTTTTCTCCTATGCAAATACAGTTAAGGTTTCTAAAAAATCTTTGAGGTTGACAGCATGATGTATTATTAGAAATTTGATTAGGAGGGAGCTATCCTCGCTCAGAGGTAGAAGGTTTCTGTATATCAATCAGTTGGCAGGGTGTCTATTTGCCATTTGAAAATATTATGATCTGTTACTGCCAAACTAATTTTCTCTGTTTTGATTTTCAGTATAGGATGGTGAAAGAAGCCCTCCATGAGCGTGCCAACCTACTAGAAATTGCTCCTCACTTGTCAGGTCCATTGCCTATAATGCTTCCAGTTTACAAGTAAGCCTTTGGTATCACTGGTGTACTTTGTGTTAATCTGGGGTCAGTAGAACAATACAGATCTAATGGAAATAATCCCGCAGTGTGTATTTCTTAATGTGCTTTTAATTGGTCCTAATCTTTAAACCATTTCAAACACTTTCTTTGGTGTATTTAAAAGTGTAGATTTTCTTAAATACTCTCTATGGACCTGTGTCTAAGGACCAGATTTTAAAGGCAAAGGAGCTTGAGTTCTGTGTTTATAATTAGTGGTATCTTATTCCAGTTTCTAAAAGTATGCAAATGAGCAGCTGCATTTACAAGGAAGCTTTGGGATGAGGGTCATGTGCAGAGTGTAAAATGCAGACCCCAAAATACTGCAATGCAAAATCTGAATCAATTGTGTAGCAACTCAGAACCCAAACCATACTGGTTCAGTTTTGTTGTCCAAGTTAACCTAAACTGAATTTTGTTCAGGAGGTGTCAGATTGTACAGGATCTAACCTCATTTTCCTAATGCATGAAGTTTCCTTAAATTGGAGGCACAGGCACAATGATGTGAAAAGTGGATTGTATAACTCTTTTAGCCACATGGGTGGTGGGGGACTTGAAGCCAATTTGGTCACTTTGTCCACATTTTGCCACAGATTGCCCAGGGCGTCTTTCACCATGGGTGCAGTTTACATTCACCAAGGCTAGCAACCTACACTAGTTAAATCCATCTCTAGACCTGTGAGTCCCAGGCCTTGATATTTAATTTGTATATTTTCTGAAGAATTCTCATATACAGCAGGGTTGAGAGCTGTAGGGAAGATGAACTCTCGCTGATTGATTTCAGTTGTGTACATCAACTAGATTGGTGTCAGAAGCAGATATGCAGGTTCCTGGGTTTTTTTTTTTTTTTTTTTTTTCTTTCTATTTCTAGGTTATTTTGGGTTTCTTAAATGTTGTTTCTTGCTTTTTGTGTCATTCTATCATGTTACATTGTGTTTCTAAAGAAACCTCTCCCCTGCTTATGTTGTAGGTGGTGGCAGTTACCTTATTACTGGGTGGGAATCAAGCTATATGATCTGGTTGCAGGAAGTAATTGCCTGAAGAGCAGTTATGTCCTGAGCAAATCCAGAGCCCTGGAGCACTTTCCCATGCTCCAGAAGGACAAGCTGGTGGGAGCCATTGTCTACTATGATGGTATGTGATGTTTTTTCTGCTCTTACGGCCTCTGAGGGTGCATGACTGCACTTATAATATGTTGTAGTGTATTGTGTAGATAAATACTTTTAATGTTAATCTTACACAATACTCAAATGTACCGGCACATGTAGAAACACCATTTCCTCTAGTACTAGCTGAAAAACTACCCACAATGGTTTGTTCTAATACTTAGCTTTGCTTGATTTATTAATAATAATTAAGAATTTTTTTTTTTTGGACATCCTACACCAGGCTGGCCTGGAACTCACTATATAGCCCAGGCTGGCTTCAAAGTTGTGCTTCAGACTCCTGAAAAATGGGATTGCAGGTGTGAGCCACCATGCCTGGCTGTTGTGCTCTGTATTTCTCTTTTACTTCTACTTGTGTCTCATGGTTGGTTTGGTCCATTTCTCATAGTTACGAATTGCACCCCACCTTCATGCCATTCAATTTGTTATATGTTTGCCAGTGAATACTTGTCTTATGAATATATTATAATGTTGAAAGCAGCTGAAGATCTGTTAGGTTTTCTAGATGAAACCTCTATTTTCAAGGGGTTATAAACCTAGAGAAAAATGCCCCTTGGGCTGAAATTGACATGTTGTTGTTTTGCATAGGACACATTCTTGAACACATAATTTATGTTTTAAAGGTAGATGAACATTGCATCTGTTGAACCAAACCTTCAGGTTTTATTGCTCATTTTTTTGCTGGTAGATGTTTTCCGACTGACATTACCTACTGTACATTTGCTGTGTTTTCAATGTGAATTCTTCTGTGTGTGTGTAACAATGTAATTTGTACATTTTTATTTGAAGGAACTAGAAAGTATATTTCTAGATGGATTACAAACAACAGCAATCCAAAACAGTATAGGCAAAACCATTTATGAATCTTTACTGGTATTTTCAAAGCTATACAGGACTAGAAAATAGTCCAACGATATTAATTTATAAGTAGCTTGACATAGATAATCATACATATTCAAAAGGTTTAGAAACTTTATGGCACAAAGGACAACTTGGGCTTTGAATCACAGTGACTGGTCCCTTCCCCTTATTATAGTTTATCTTTGGTGTTAGATATATAAACTCTAAGCATGGAGAAATGCTTTTTGTTGTGTTGTTGTTTTAGAATATTTGATACATATGTTTATAATAGTACATTATATTATATTATGCTATCTGTGCCTTTAAGGCCAACCCTACCTTTTTTTTTTTTCATTACTTCATTCCAATGGTACCTTTCTGAATCAGTTCAGCTGTCTGACAGGCTTTCGTGTATAAATGCAGAATGTATATGTGCAGAGGGGGCAATGGGGACCAAACTCAAGAAAATGTCCTAGGAGCAACAATATTAGAAAAATGTTAAGGGTCTTAGACAAACATTAAAAGCTAGAAAATTAACAGTTTGCAGGGCCTTTCAGCATCTGAAACACCATGGGGGGGGGCACTTAACTACTTTTTTGGTGCCCTTGATGGAGCCTACATGTTAAAGGACAATCTTCACTGTGAATCTGCTTTCTCTGCATCAGGCCCTTAATGTTAATCCTTTGTAGTTTATTGGGTGATTACAGTAAAGAGGTTTTTGGTCCAGGAGGAGAAGGCATTCTGTAAATAGCATCCTGTCTGTCCTGATGTGGAAATGTTTGTGGCCTTGGCCTTCTGTTGCTCCCTCTTTCCACACAAATCCTTTCAAATTCTTAAATTTTCTATAACGTGGCATGTGTTAGGTACTAACTAATTCCTATTTTTTAACACGTGTGTATTGGAGTTCCCTACTGTAGAACATTAGTGGGTGTCACATCTCCACTTAGTTTGCTAATGTTTTGAATTATATACTCTCATTGTTTCTACATGGAGAATTCAAGGAAAATCCGTGTTTTCTAAAGCAGAGGAAACATTATTCTACTAGAATTAAGAAGAAGTGTTCCATTAATCTAGAATCGATCTTTATAGCTGGTTATAGGCTACAGAAATACAAATTGAGCAAAAATTATTGAAAATTTCTTTAAAATAATGTCCGAGTGCTGTTTGGAAATGGATGGTACAATCCTAAGTCTTGATCTGAAGAAGTGAAAATAATTATATTCGGGTTATTTGAAATCAATTATTTGCTTTTCACTTTGTTCTGAAATTATTCAGGCTGAAATGTGTTATATTTAAAGTGAGACAAAACAAGTGTGTCAAAGAGTAGAGTTCTTTGGTTTCTTGATGTATTCACAGACAGAGGCTACTCCTATTTTACCTAATATGGTGTGATGAACAAAATACATGTTCCTGTGAAAACGCAGAAAGAAGCGTGAAGGCCAAGGCAGCATAAGCACCAAATGTACCCTCAGAAAAAGGAAGGAAAGTCTTGGCCAGAAAAGCGGTATTTCTACACTTTCAGAGAGAAAACAGTATTTGAACCATCACAAACTGCTGTGTATTTTGTAAGATAAAAGCTTCATTCCTAAAACTAAATACACTCTTCCTCATAAATAACATCACATGGGGCTGGGGACATGGTTCAGTGGGTAAGCACGCTGACTGTGCAAGTATTAGACCTGAGTTCAGATCTCCAGCACCCACATACAAAGCCAGTGGTCGTGTGCACTTAAAATCTCAGAGGTGCGATAGACAGAAGGATTGCTGGGGCTGGCCAGCCAGCCACTCTAGCCAACAGAACAGTGAGCTCTGTGCTAAGTGAGACACCCTGTTTCAAGGGAATAATGTGGAAGGCAACCGAGGACGGCACCCAGTTTCCTCCTCTGACTTCTGTGCACTTGCCTGCACATACATACAGCACATAAACACACAACCATCACACTTACACACACACACACACACACATACACACACACACACACACGAGGAAAAATCAAGTAACCACTATGAGAGTATAAGTTGGCCCAAGTTATTTCAAAATGAATTCAGACTTGAAATTAAAAAAAAAATACTTAAATTCTCCTGTAATGACCTATTTTGTTGTTGTTGTTGGGTTTTTTGTTGTTGTTGTTTTTGAGACAGGGTTTCCCTGTGGCTGCAGCTGTCCTGGAACTCACTATGTAGACTAGGCTGGCCTTGAACTCACAGAGATCTGCCTGTCTCTGCCTCCTGAGTGCTGGGACTATTGCCTGGCTGTAATGACCTATTTTTAAAGTGAACAGAAATAGTTTTTCTAATTCCTACTTAGTTCTAATGAAAAAAGTTGCATAAGTTCATAAACTGAACATTTAAGTGCTAACAGAAGTTTTGTTAGCTGAAAACTCTTATTAGCAACACACCACACAGTTACTTTAGCACCAGTAGGAAGTGGAGTCTATGGAAACCATGGGACATACGAGTCAACATTACCAGGGATTGCCAAGTTGGTCCAGGGATTGAGGCAACCGTTAAAGTCTGTTCATCACAGAACTGTTAGGGCTGTAAGGTGTTTGTTTCGAAGTACAAAATGCACAGATATCAGAAGATTTTTAAAAAATTACTCATAACCATAGTTCATCTTAGATAAATTTTGATAGCTGTTGCATATGAATAAGGTAAAACCAATTTCTCTGCAAAACATCATGGAGATAGAATAAATTCTCCATGCATTTTGTTTGTGGATACATGTTCTCACTGTATAGTTCAGGAAGGCCTGGAAATCTCCACCCTCCATCTTCTGCCTTCCTGGTGCTGAGATTATAGGTGTGCACCACCATGAGCAGCTCTCCGTACTTTCTGATATAATTATATTGGCTATTTTGTATATGGCATAAGTATGACCCACTGTGATATTTCACTGTTAACTGTTAAAAGACAAACTGATACATATGGAGAAATAACTGCTATCTTTTTAAATGCAGACAGAGTAAATGTCAAGTTTCTCAGTAAAATCCATATGAAATGAAAGTTAGGATACGAGTGACATACCAGATTTTTCCTCTAGTTACAACCTCTTCTTATATTCTTTAAAGAAAATATGTAATCTGCTCCCTTACTTTCTCTGTGAACCATGTCCTAGTGTTTCCTCCCAGCTCCTGGCCTGCATCTAGTAGAGATTCATTAGCTAGGTCCTGATGCTGCCATGACCACTATTGGAGAGGGTTAAGAGGTAGAGAGTGGTGACCAAGCCATTCTCCAAAACAGCCGGAAGTATTTAGGGCTTGGTATGCTTGGGTGGCTTGGCAGGCTGTGAGACTTATGTGACTAGCTTCTGGGGTACAGCAGGGTCCTGAGGAACTTATTTTGACTTCTTCTGTCAACTTTAGTTTAGGTTTTTTTAGATGCCCGTGGTGGTGACACATGCCGGTGATCCTAGCACTTGGGAGATAGAGGCAGGAGATGGTGTTCAAGATCATATTCAGCTACGTAATGAGTTCTAGGCCAGCCTGGGCTACAGGAGACCTTGCCTCAAAAAACAATCAAACAAAAGCCAAACCAAACCAAAAAAAGAAAAAAATCCCATTTCCCAGAGTGGATCCCTGGTGCCATTCTAGTTGGACTTCAGTTATCCAATCCAGTGCACAGAAAATGAGATATAATTAAAAATCATTAAAAATTTAAAGCCATTAAGTAACCCCATTAAGCTTCTATAAAATGAGTACAAAATTATAGCTTTAAATTTTCCTCTCTGCCAGTCAAGACACCGACAGAGAAAGATGTCTGTTATTTTATATCCGACAGTGCTCCTAAGTATTCCTTGCGCACATATGAAAATAGCAACCTGAAGAAACTACATTGGCTTTCCCAGTGTAAATAAAAGTTGGTTACATCCATGTAAGGGGAAGTAAAGTCTAACATTCACTAGAATATTCATTTTTATTCCAGCCTAAAACTCACACCATACAAATAGATGAAATAGCTTGTGAGAAAGCAAAGCCAATTTAATCTCTGGCTCCCCTGAGGTAAATGTAGTTCACAGTCCTGCCCCCACCCCAACCTCAGCTATAATCCCTGGCTCCTGGAGGTAAAAATGCACTGAAGTGAGGAAAATTCTGCAGCAGGATATAATGATCCAAAATGACAGGGACA